ATGATGATTGCAGTATTCCACGATCATGTGATCACCATTTGTGACCTTTCCAGCTGACTTCCAATAAGCAGAGTCAATGTGAAAAGCCAGATTCACTTATCAACGGCAATGATTTGCTTAACAGCCATGGCAACAAAGATGATAAAATCAGGCACGACTCATTTAACAACTGCCTTGCTTAGTAACAGAAATTCTGGTCCCAATTGCAGCCGTAAGTCAAGGACTACCTGTGTTCCCAACTACTACTTCAATACTATGAGAATAAGATACAGTATTGAGGGCAAGATTAGTTTGACTTCCATAGTTGCCTGGAAATAGCTAATTTAAGACAAGTCTTTTATTTAAATTCAGATGTGAATTTATGGATTGTGATAATAAGTCTTCGGTTTTCCTTCAGCTCTTCTTTCAGCTGTCAGGTCACTGAAAGCACCAGGTGGGAATAATGGATTTATAGTCTGAGTGTTGTTTTTATTACAGTTATTGAAATTCCATGTTTTTCAACAAAATAGTATGATTTTAAAACAAAAACTCATTCAGCATTCATCCCTCAGTGACATAGATAGTAATAGTTTCATTCCTTGCAAGCACTTGCCTTGCTTCTGCAAAATCTTCCAACATCCGTGGTGGTTAGACTGGTTAGAATGCAGTATTGCAGGCAAACTCTACCAACTGCCAGGAATTTAATCCTGACCAGCTCAAGGTTGACTCAGCCTTCCGAGGTCAGGAAAATGAGGATCCAGATTGTTGGGGGCAATACGCTGACATGGTAGAGCCCTCTCTGCTTAGAGAGGGCTGGAAAGCACTATAGAGCAATATATAAGTCTAAATGCTATTGCTATCACAATGTTGAAAATTGGCAGCAAATGCTGGGAATTAAATGCAGCTTCTCTTAGACATTTAGTAGAAAACAAAAGAAAACATGCAGATAGTTTACCAAAGAGGTTAAACATAATGTAAGAAGCTCCTCAATCTCCTCCTAAACAGTCTCTCAACTGGACAAAAAGAGTTCAAACATCCTGTCCTTTCTCCTCCAGTGACTTTATTAAGTATTGGTGCAATCTGGTCAACAAGAAGCAGTTTAGAAATATTAATTTCGGCAGTATTAATGTATATATTTCTAAATATATACAACAGGTTTCATTTCCTAGTGAGCAATTGCTTCACAAATGAAGAATAAGATTTCCTTCCAAAGACCTCTAAAGGACCTCTGTATATAATGTCCTTAAAAAACGGATGGGTAGTTCTTACTTCCTTTTAACACATTTTGAGAGCTCTGTTCAATTAAAAAGGTTAGAATAGCGTTGTCCTTTTGCAGTTAAGCTTTACAATAGTGGTATTGGTAAAGTGACCAGATTTTAAGATGGGTAAAGCGGGACACCATTGACTGGGGGGGGGGGCTCGGAGCACCTGAGCTGTAAAAAAAAAGTCTTCCCCCGATTGCCTTCCCCCAATGCCCCCAACCCTTTCAAAAGTCACCCCCATCGCCAGCCTCTCCCAACCGGATCCCTGCCTGCCTCCCCTCAGCTCACCCAGACCAGGTTGCTGACGGCGGCTTGCACAGCATGGCTGCAGGGAGAACAGCACCCGAGAGAAGCGGGCAAAAAAAACCAACCTTCTGACGGCTGAGCTGCTTGGCCCGGGGCCAAGCCTCCTCCTCGCCGTGCTGCCACCACCGGAAAGGCCCCCCTGTCCGAGACCGCCGGACGGCTGTCACAAAAATGTTGCGCGTCAGCGCACACATGCGCAGGAGGGGAGGGAGCCTCGCCCCTTGTTTGGGGCTGCGAGCGAGCCGAGCGGAGGGGCGGAAACCACTGCTCTCTAAAGGCCACATCAGGAACTACACTTCAGAGAAATAAAAACTTTTTTTTAACGGCGTCCTTTTTACAACTGATGATTCGGCATCTTTTCTTTCTTTTGGAAAATCGGGACTTTTTCAACACGCCGCGGGACACGGGACAAATTTTGAAAAATCGTGACTGTCCCGCCAAAAGTGGGACGTCTGGTCACCTTAGGTATTGGGTAATTGGCCAGACTTGTTCATAGGAGTGGGCTTCAAAAATTGCAGCAACAAGTTTGCTGCCCTGTTGCTGGGTGGATGCGACCATGGTGGGCATGGCCCAGTCAGCACCATGGGGAGGGAGACGATTTTCACCCTCCCCAGGCTCTGGAGGCTTTCCTTGAGCCTCCAGTAGGGCAAAACTGCTTCTCCTGGGCTCTGAAGGCCCTCTGGAGGCTGGAAACAGGCCCGTTTCCGGACTTTCAGAAGCTCCGGTAGGCCAGTTTCCCCCTCTCTGAACCTCCATGTGGGTCCTGCACTTACCTGGAATGATGAATGGGCTGTGTGGAGACTCCTGGGAGGGGAAGATCAAGATGGGAGGGGTGTGTTGGAGTGGATGTGGCCAGCCAGGGGTGGCATTTGGCAGCTCACTGAACTAGGCAGAATCCTAGCTAGAGAATCGCCCGAACCCCTGCAAACCCCCTGCATCCCACCCTGCTATTCATCTCCACCAATCTTCTTTTCCCATGCAATACCAACTCCTACTTAGTGTACATATTTATGTCGAATCCATCAGGATGTTTTTAAACAATATCTGTGCCAGTCAGCTTTTTGTGTGGTGCACTGAGGCACAAATTAAGACCAACTTTAAATAGCATGTTGTTGATGCTATTTAATTGCACAATTAACACTTTAAATGGTCACAACTGCATAATTTCAGATTCCACATCAACATTATTTTAAGTGCCTTCTCACTCCAGGTTCAGAAACAGATCTTTAACTGGGCTTGTACTTCAACTTACATCAGAAATCTGTTTGTATAGGTGTGTGGACAAACATGTATTATAAGTAAAATATAAGTAAAAATATCCAGGAGAAACTGTATACACTTCACAAATAATTCAGAAGAAGTGGACCTTGAAGAAATGGACCCAGAAATTGTACCTGTCTGTTATTCATTAAAATTTGAATTTACTGTTTGAGCTTGAAATAGAATGTGCCTTTTTGATGAATCAGATTTTTTTTGCAGATTACTACTAATAAGTTGTTCCGGCAGAGATCCATATCTCTTCACTGATGAGCACATGTGAAGATACAGGTTTTTTTAAAGGGGCTTGTCCAACTGAGTTTATGAATCATAGTGATTGGGATGAAACAATATTCTGAATGAAAATTAAGGAGGACATATGATATACTTTAGTACAATAAGTAAGGCCAGCCACTTGTGGTTGATTTGATTAGCAAGCACAGTAAATAGATGCAATTAGCAGGTACTTTCTTTGTAAGTAGATATGATCCTTAGAGCGGAATATAGTACTTTCAAGTGGAAACCAATTATTCTGATCTGTTTTATTCTAGAATCAAGGTCCCACATGGTTATTAAACCTGCCCCTATTGGATAACACTTGCAAGAAGAAAGGCCAGAAGATTCTGTTCTGCTTATTGTAACCTCTCACCAACTTTTGATACCAATGGTCATGTTATCTGATGAACTGAAATTTCTGGGTAATACATGAGCGTACTGAGAGATATCCAGAGTTGCGTTTCTTAAAATGAAGATCTTAATCTGAGTAAGGTTCAGTAAATTGAGACTTGTCTGCCAGTCATCGAATGTGCCTCATTCAGCAATTTATTAAGTGATTTACATCAGTTGTGCTATAAACTCAAAGGCAAGTACATAGTTGTATTTATTTAACTGATTTATAAGTATAATTTGCATGATGTTGTCACAACAAACATGTCATCCTTTGCTCCACTGAAGTTTCATTCTTCCCACTCAGTTTTATGTTCAAATGCTGGTGCTTTCTACAGTGACAACTTTTCAAGCCACTTCTCCTTAACTGCATGCTGATGCCCAGATATAATGCTCAGAGATGGCTTCAAATAGGAATTCAGTAATGTAATGTCAGTTTGAAATGGTCGCAAGCCATATTTGCTGGCACTGCAGCCCTCAGCTCCAGTGTGCATCCACTCACCGGCCAGCTGAAAGCTGGGTGAGGCAGTTTTTGCCCTCCCTAGGCTTCAGGAAAGCCTCCGGAGCCTTAGGAAGGCAAAAAACAGGCCCAATGGGCCAACCAGAAGTTCTTTCCCAAACTTCCAGTTGGGCCGTTGGGCTGTTTTTCACCCTCCCCAGGCTCCAAAGGCTTTCTTGAAGCCTGGGGAGGGTGAAAACGGCCTAACGGGCAAACCGGAAGTTCGTTCTCAAACTTTCAGGAAAGCCTCCGGAGCCTGGGGAGGGTGAAAACTTTCACCCGTGGGGGGCGCATGAACATAAGCGGGGAGTGTCATGCGCATATGCGCAGGTAGGTGGTCACATGCACATGCATGTTAACATACGCGCACACAATTTTGGCACATCTTTAGAAAAAGGTTAGCTATCACTGTTCTATACTGTATAGTTAATGTAGAAGTACTAAAAGTGAGAAATATCTTCGAAGCTTTGATCACTAGACTTACTGGGCTTTTGTATGTCTGGGATGGGCCTGTTTGCTCCTGATGCTTGTCTCCTGTCTCTAGTGAACATTTGTCATGTGCAGGCCTGGATTTTGGCCTCTGTCTTGCCCTACATGTACTAAGGGAAGCGCTGAGTTGGCATGCATTTCCCCCACTTCACATTTGCTTCTCGATTTTTTTATAAAAATGTCAAAGCTTCTCCCTTCTTTATGTCTCACATCAGACTGCCTTGAATTTTATTATTTTAAAAACTTGCATTTTTTTAAAAAAAAACGTGGAACACTCCTAGCAGAAGTTCCAGTGTTCTTTTAGCTTCCTCTTTCTTAAACACCCTAAAAGAGAGCAGTGAACGTTTAAAATTGCCGTCACTCTGAAAACTTTTTTCGGCTTTAGTTAGAAAAGCGAAGTTAAGAAAGGCCAGGAGGGCACGGAATCCGCTCCGTGAAAAAAATCCAGTGCCGGTTTTAACCGCGGTCTCTGGAGTGGGTGGTTTCCGAGGCGCAGCGGCTCCCCGCCCTCCACTAAGCTTGGGACGCGGAGCGAGCGCCGGCTTAGGAGAGCGAGAGCAACGTTGAGCCGAGTGGCCGGACGGTGGGGATGGGCTCGCGCTAGCGGTTTGCTCTGGCTCAGGTTTGCTCTCGCCATGTAAGCGCAGGCTACGGGCGCTCCTCTTTTTCTCTCCTCTGCTGGATCCGTTCTAGGGCAGCCCCGGCGGGGATCATGCGGAGAGCCCCGGCGCCCGGGCTGCTGCTCCCGCCGCCGTCACCGCTGTTGCTGCTGCTGGGCTTTTTGGTACTGGACAGGGGCTGCACGGCGCAATACTCGAGCGACTTGTGCAGTTGGAGAGGAAGGTAAGAAGTTGCTCGCCGGGCAAGGGGCTGCGGGAGGTTGGCGGGCTTGCCAACACGCTGTAAGGTGTGTTCCCAAAGGTTGGGTCTTTGTCCGGGCATATCCCCGTTCCTGGGATCTTGTTTCCCAAGGTGCGCTCCTGAGGAAATCTAGACTTCAGGACACCCCCCTCCCCTTGCCCGATCATATTTTTCTCTGGGTTGATGTTGCTAAGTCGGAGGCGATTAACGCTGATTTTAAAGAGAACAAGGACCCTTTGGGGAATCTTTCCTTCCTCTTATGGAGGTGGGGTTGGTGGGTTGGAGGGAGAGATGAAACACTACTTTGTAGAGGGTCGCTTTTCTTTTTCTTTTTCCTTCCAGCCTGTTCCCCCCTCTGTTGCGATTGGAGAGTTGGAGTGGGGTTCACAGCGAAACGAATGCCAGGCTTGGAAATCTTGGATCCAGGAGGGCTGGTTCTCTTCCTCCCCCGCTCCCGCTCTTCCCCCTCATCCCAGAATTGCCGGGTGTGCGTGTTTGGGAGTAGCTATTGTGAGGGGTGGGTGTTGGTATTGAATCTTAGCCGTCCTCGAAACCGCTCTTCGGAGAAGTTTCGTTCGGAAAGGGAAAAAGGGGGGCGCATAGTTCCATGTGGGCTTTCTAGCTCCAGAAGCTCCGGGACACATGGATTTGATTGTTGCAAGGGGAATAAAAGAAATCCTCCCTTTTTCCCCATTCACCCCCTCGGCTGTTTGCTCTGATTTATTGGAAAGAAGAAGGAGAGGGACAGTTTGATTAACATTCCAGGAGTGTTCAGGATGAGTATATTGCCAAAGCAACGAGCGAAGGAGAGGCGGGGGGGGGGGGAGGAAGGGAAGCCGGAGACCGCTCGGCAGACAAAGGTAGAGTTTCTCTCTCTCCTGACCACCGCGGCACCCTCCGCATCTGTGCAACTCAACACCACAATAACATACTTGAAAATTGGTGACCTCCTACCTTTTTTGCACTAACTTCAGCGTAACTCGGTTAGGCTTTTTCAGCCTCCCTCGAGAGAGAGGGAGGGAAAAATGGATAAGGGTTTATAATCGGCGTGTTTACGAATGTGTAAAGATTGCTTCGCCCTTATCAAACTTGTGACGCTGTGCTCTCTCCTTCTCCCTCCCCCACTCTCTTTTGGCAGCCTGCAGCTTTTTTTTTTTTTTGAGGAAATAAACCCCAATATATATATATATATATAACTTTCATTAATACCTGACTTAGCGCCGGGCTTGTTTACCTCAAAACGCCTTGGATGACTGAAGTTGGGTTTTTTTTTTTGGTTTTTTGGTTTACTGGGGGTAGAGAGGTTGTTTGTTTAGATTGGAAACTTGGGCGTTTACTGTACACGTTTTGAAGTTGTTCCCTGGAAATTGTAAAACTAGGGTGCTTATGTGTGGGCAAGGAGGTCTCCAGAGAGAGGGTGGCTATGGTTCTCGGGAGTTCCTTCGGAGTTCACCTGCTATATTGTATAAGACTAGGATATCATAAATGTTCTGAGCTGAGCCTCTGTCTCTCTTACACCTGTGGCATAACGTCACCACTGCTACTTTAGATTTTAATCGGGATTGCTAACAGAAAGCTCTTGGCCATAATTCCTTAGTTGCCACAGCTATTTTAATCATCCTGCTTGTGAAATCTTTAAAACTCCTTGGCCTCTACATTTTTCCCTCTCTTGTGTCTGACTTTCCCTCTCTCCCAACCTTCAGTAATAGTCCTCAACTTACAACAAACAGTTCGTTTAGTGACTGATCAAAGGTACAACATGGCTTATGGCCGTTTCTCACACTTAAACCATTGCAGCATCCCTACCGAGAGGTGATCAAAACCCAGATGCGCAGGCAACTGACTTGTATTTATGACAGTTGTTGTATCCTGGGGTTATGTGATCTCTTTTGCAATCTTCTGACAAGCAAAGTCAATGGGGAAGCCAGATTCACGTAACAATGGTGTTACTAACTCAACAACTGCCGTGATTCGCTTAACAAATGTGGCAAGAAAGGTCATAAAACGGGGCAAACTCAAACGTTTCGTTTAGTGAAATAAATGGGCTCAATTGTGGTCATAAATTAAGGACTACTTGCACTTTAAATCTGTTCCTATGGTTTTCTGAAATCTTCTGTAGATCTCAAAAGGCTTTCATTTAGTCATTAATCCATGGCTAAATTTATGTACATCTGCAACCTGAATTTGAAGTTTACAAAACAATTTATTTTTAAACAAGTAGAATGACAGTGAATTATTTCTTTGGATTTATGCAGACAGGAAAGTTTAAATGAATAGAAACAGGAGGCAATATCAGGGCAGTAGCCTCAGGCTTAAATGGTGGGGATCAGAGGTGTGTGTGTTTGTGTTGCTTTGTTTTATGGAAGAGACAATCCTTTTTGGAAATCCTTTGGGGAAAGGTTGAACTCCAGCTATCACAGATTATCTCACCTGTTACGAATTGTCACATGCCCTGTAGCAAAATAATTCCATTATCTAGAAAGATAAGTCCCTGAAAATAGTGGCATGGAAAACTTGTTGAATGTTATCAGATAACTTTACAAGACCTGTGCCTAAAACAAAGTTCAGCTTATTTAGGGAACCATTTAAAGTTTTGCTGCCACAGTCCTGTTGATATAATTTGCTACAATTGCTTTGTGTAACAAAGCAAACAATTCTTAGGCAACAGAGTTCTAATCATTGTAGAACCAACTTCTCTCAACATCAGTATGATTTATTGCTCAAAATTAGTTGTGGACTTCTACAAAAATTGCTGTGGCCACTGAATCTACACTTCATATGATTCACAAGTTTACTTGAACTTATTTTGTATATCTATAATTATAGATATTGAAAGTATGTTAAAAACATTGTGTCTCAGTGTCTTTATTAGACCAAAGCTATTCTAGACCAAAAATTCTTGGAACCATCTTCTGTTTGTTCACGTATTGAATGAACAATGTCTTTCATGCCTGATTTTTCTTATAATTGAAGTTCATAAATGTGCAGGCATGGATTTGATCACATATATGCCCCCCCCCCTTTTTAATGGGCATTGGCTTGAGGATGTCTCCCAAGATTTCTTTTTAAAATACCACATTTGATTTGGATGTGATTATTAAGGAGATTGGGGGGGGGGTAAGGTCATATCCTTGTCTGGATTATCTCTTCCTAAAATTAGTGGCAACAGTATTTCCATAACATAAAAGAGAAATATTATTTGGGGGAGGAGCAACTTGAAGAGCCTGACTTGTTTAACTCACTTCATAAAATAAAAGACAGAGGCAGTATTCCCAATTTATATCTGTCTCAGCTGCAACACTAAACCATTAATATATTACTCTACTGATGAATGAAGTCTCTCTTCTGGGCTTGCCAGTGTCCTGAATGCCAACCACAAGGGATGTGTGTGAGCAGCATGACTCACTTCCCTGTTATGGGGCTTACCCAACACTTCCCCCCCCTCCCCAATCTGTCATTAAATATTTTAGTTTGGGGGAATGACGCATGCTTGCTGACACTTGCAATTGCACAAGAAAACATCAGATGTCTGAAAAATAGATGGAATTGACCAAACAGGTGGCTGTGGTATAAGTCAGACTGATCTGGCCAGCAGAGTATTTATAAGAGAGAGCAAAAGCTTCATGGTTTTAAGTCCCATCTCAGGCAGCTTCAGGTAGGACTAGGAAAGTTCTATCTGGAACCTTGCCTGGAATTCCTGCCTGTCAATACATTTGGTTGTATGGAAGTTTTTCCTTAGGGCTACCTCTATCTTCCTAAATGTATTAAGATGCATAATGTCTAGCAATAGGCATGTGCTTCTGAGTCCTAGTCAGTAAGGAGCAATAGTAGGAGATGACTGTTGCCTTCATATCTTACTCATGGGCTTTGAGTAATCTTTTTGTTGGCCATTAGTGCAAGGGAGGATGTTGGACTATATAATGGTGCCTTGCAATACTTTACAAGGTAAAGTATACAAAGTTAAAGAGTTTAGCATTGAAGGCTCAAAGGGGCTTCAGTGTTCATGGAGGGGTTCATCCAGCCCCTCTCAGCAGCTTCTTAAAGTAGTTGTGTTTTTCTTAATATCACACAGCTGCCTTTTACGCAGCTCTGTGATGGGTGGTGGTGGTTTAGTTCCAGCAAATGCTGTTTATCTTTTCTCCCCTTTCTCAAAAACACTCCCCTCCCCCCTGAAGTATTGGTAAGATGTCCTTAATCCAGTGTTTCTCCACCTTGGTGTCTTGAAGATATGTGGACTTCAAATCCACAACTATTTTAGGTTGTCAGGATTGCCTTCATTAAAATCTGGCAGGCTGCTATTATAAATAAGAAAAAGGATGAACTAATGAATATGAAGGGAAATATAGGTCACAAATTCAGCTTGGCCTTCTGGAAAGGCAAGTTCAGCAGGGCCAGTGGTGAGAGGGACTACTGGCATTTTACTTCAAGAGAAGCACAAGCTTCTGACAATGTTACTGATGCTGCTTTCCTTTCCAAAATAGCTTTCCTTTCTTCTGTCTAACATGAGTTGGTGGTCTCTCCTTAGAATCTGTTGACATTGGTGATGAACAAATAGGCATTTATGTGTACGGGAGAATTCTTAGGAACTGTTAGCTTTTAAAAGTAGGCTTTTTAAAAAGTTTGGCGCAGTTGAGCTTCTCATATACTAGGATAGCTGTGTGCCCTGTGGATGCATTGGGGTACAGTTCTCAGTATCCCCTGGCCAGCATAAACAATTCTGAATTCTGAAGGCTTTTTGTCTAGCCTTAATTGCCCATCTTCAAAATTCTGGCACTTTTTCTCTAAAGATTTTTATACAGTGATTATCCCATTGTTATATGCAGGATTACAGTCTATTCTTTCTGGTTGTGTAACCTTAGAAGTTATATTTGTTACTGTGGCAGCAGATGAGGTCTAAAGTACAAGCTGCCACTAATCTGTGGTATCCGGCCTTCAAAGTTAAAGATTTCAATGATAACAGAGGTGTAAATGCCAGGCCTTCCACTTCTTCAGAAAAAAAACCCCAAACTCTGTTTTTTCTAAATTGTCAAGCTGTTCCAGTAGCAGGTTGGTCTTAGAAATGCCTGAACTTCCCATTAGTAGTTATAAATAACATTGTTTTGAACAAAAAGGAGAACCACAGTTTTATATATATTCATAACTACTGTAGCTGTCAATGCATGTTTCACTGTGTAAGAATGAATACTGTTGATATATCTCAGTTTGGTTTGGAAGTAAACAAGGCAATTTATTGTCTGTGGGTGGGATTAGGTAATTCTGAAGTTTTTCCATTAAGGCTTTAAACGGAATTATTTGGCCTTATGGTCATGCGTAGGTAAAACTAAAATACTGCATGGATGTAATAGTCTTCTACCAGCAAATGGGACGAAGTAAGTTATGAGTTTTGGTTGTCTTGTTTGTGTAAGGACTTTGGACATTTATTTTTGGCCTTGAAATCAAGCCAACATCATTTTATATTTATAATGAAAGTGAATGCAGGTTTGCTTCAAAACATGGGCAGTTAACCTGCTTGGTTTAATACATTGAATAATCCTTTACATACAGTACATAACAGGAACATGAGATGATTTAGCCATTGGTCCTGGAACTGGCTATATATAAATGTGGATTAGAGAAGTGGCTTTGTTCTTAGTTCAGACATTTAATATCACCATATTTATCCGGAAAGGAAAGATTTGTTAGTCCATCAGACCTCTTAACACCTTCTGATAATGAATCATCTAAACTCTCTCTAGGCAGATGTTTTCTGTCTCCACCAAATCGTTCAAGCCATAGAGAGCTCTCCATCTCCACCAACTCTTGACAGCTTTAACTAGGTCATGAGCTTTTAGCCAAGTCAACTCAAGCTGTTTTGAAATGCATTCAGTATTGTGAATCATCTATTCAGTAGGAACTTGGTGGATTTGTATCCTGACTTGCTTGTCTTTTTAATTCTGCTTTATTCCTTTATGGTTTCTTTGATATCATTAACTTCAATGAAAACAATGCACCCTCTTTCCTTTTAGTCACAAGTAAAGCTTGCAGACCTGTGTTTGTGCTTAGTTCCAGAGTCACTTATTGCTAAAAACTTCAAAGCATGAATACTCTCTTGCTTTTCTTTCAAACTGAAAGGTCACATTTTGGCATTGGAGAAGTTTCAAATAATCCATGGTATTTTGAAGTGGGAACTTCTTCCACTCAGGAAATTACATTAAGGCCATTGATGAAGTATAGGTTGTATGTGGATTAATGAGTTTCAGGACTCGGTGTTTTACACTTTTTATATTTTGGAACAAACAATGTGCTTCTGAGCCAACTGCACTGACTTTATTGTGCAGAAATAGCAAATTCACACTTTCAAGTAGGATTTTATATAAATACTGTAGCTCTTGTACTATGGCTGCTCTATTCTGGCTGCATTCAGCCATGCAACAATCCTGTTAGCTTTGGTTGAATTATAATTCCAATTTGATGAATGGAGGTGATCAGGAACCCAGAAGTGGTAGGATCAGCAGTTGGAGCTTTGAGAAGTGGCTTGATTCAGTCTTGAGTTTAACTTGCTGACACAACAATGCATTGACATTTTGAGAAGAGTATTTTTGTAATCTGGAACCATACACACCAACAGATTGCCACTTATGATGTTATGATGAAGCTAATGATTAAAATTTAAGTTTCTTGGAGTTTTCTCATGAAACCTCTGAATTTTGTTGCATCTCCAGTATGGCAAGTATTTTATTTCAAATAAGAATTGTATGTTGTCCCTTGTTTTCTCCCCACACTGCAAATCATATGTCCCAAAGCTAATTTCTGCACAAGATTAACATTAACATTATTAAAATGATGTTGATCACTTTTTTATGTAATGTATTGGAAATCTAATGTCTGGTTAAATGCATTCAACATGTCGGTTGGTAGGGTTGTCACATAAAGTTGGGCTTGAGGCTGAAAGTTGTGTCTAGTCCATTTTTCTCATAAACAGTTTGGTCTTGTTGCTTAATTTATTTTATGGAAGGACTTAATTTGAACATTACACCATGGTTTGGAATGGACTTGATGTTAACAGACTTGATTAATTTGTCTATTTGAGGCAAGTGCCAATACAACTTAATAGAATTGGAAGCTTTTCTAAACCCTTAAAAAAGCCTGAACCCATTATTTCATTGTACTTTTCCACAATCGTTTTTCAAGTCTTTCACAGTGGCTTTTGTCTGAGTGCATATAATATTCTTGTAGAATAAATCAAGGCACTTTCCTTATAATCTTTCTTTTTTTCCCCCTAGTGGATTAACTCATGAGTCCCACAGAAAAGATGTCGAACAAGTCTACCTCCGTTGTTCTGAAGGGACCATAGAATGGATGTATCCCACCGGAGCATTGATCATCAATCTGCGACCCAATATTATCTCTTCTTCTTACAAACATTGGACTGTTTGCATAAAACCTTATAAGAACTCTGCAGGAGCAAATATTTATTTGGAAAAAACTGGAGAACTAAAACTACTGGTCCAGGAGGGAGATCACAGTCCTACCAGAGTGTATTGCTTCAACTTTGACCAAGGGGGCCTTTTTGTTGAGGCAACCCCACAGCAGGACATTAGTAGGAAGATTACAGGCTTCCAGTATGAACTGATAAGCAAGGGGATGGCATCTGATTTGCACATGATTTCCGGTGAGTTGTGATACGTTACTTCTATGGGGCCTTGCATCTGATTTACTGTTTGATTGGCTTTTCTGTTGTTATTTGAAAGGTAGTAATGTTGTTCAATCCCAGGCCTGTTCAGTCTTCAAACTAATTCCTTTTACAAAGGAAAAGTGTTGAAAACTTTAAACATAAACAACATATATAAGTAACTTGTTAATGGGCCTCCTCCCGAGTCTGCCTATGAAAGTTTTTGCTTGTTCAACTCCAAATGTTGAACTTGTTTGCTTTGCAATTGTTACCTTGAGGTGAGAGTCACATACCGGTTTATCCATGTTGTGGGAGTGCTTCCCTTTCCTGCTCTCCTTATGAATATATTTAGATGGTGAGATAGGTTTAATAACTTAAAAGAGAGGTACACCTATTTATAGGCTTAAGGCTTCTTTATACATGGGTTGGTTCTCTATGTAGATCGTGCTTCCAAAGAAGAAGTTGGCATCCAAATATTAAAATTACATGCCCATGATGTTCCATGCATCCTGTCCGGCAATTCCCCCAGGCTGTTGTTGCTCATCCTTTCCCCTCTCCATTTGTTTGCTTTTGTTTTTATATTGTGGAAGAGGTTCCTTTCACCTCTCTAATCACCCTACAAGGTTGTATTAAAGAGGCGAAATATATTCTACCTTGTGTGGAGTATATTATATATACTACCTTGTGTGGTGTGGTAAGTTGTAGTTTTGCCAATTCAGCTCCTATAAATGGCACAACTGTCTCTTTAAACACATTATAACTGCCTTGCAGATGAAAATCATTTTGAGTCATTGGCAAACACTTCATCCACTATTGATGTCTCTGAAAGCAAACTGGGAAAATAAGTGCTACTTCCTTCCTAGGGACCATCACTGATGTGCAGATAGGTGAAAGAACCGTTGACTTCAACAGTCTTTCAGAGCTAACAATTCATATTTTCAACAGTTATCTCTTACCTCTAGTAGGATGTACTACAGATATTAGTAATGATTGCAACACAACTTCTTTTTAGTTTTTAGCATGTTTTCCCCTATTTTTAAACAGGCTCCATTTTTTATCTGTGCAGCAAAATGTGTCTTGCTGTATATAATTTTTCTAACTAATTTTTTTTCCTTGTAAGGTTGACTTGGTTCAACTCAAAGTATTAGAAATGTCTGCTTTGTATTGACCTTGATGTGTAATGTCTTGACCTTTGGCTGCTATAAAACTGTAATGTCCCTTAGTAGCTGATAGGTGGCGCATTTGCCATTATAACTAACTTAACACATCTTGCTTTCAAAAACATTTGTAATTCAGTAGCATCGACTATCCTGCTTTTAAAGTTGAATATTTTAAATATGTCTGTTACTGCTGTAAAATCACAATTTTTAAATGTGTTTTCAGGATTTTTCACAAAGAATTATCTTTGTTTTGGAAATCAACACCCTCTCCCCATTTTCCATGTCGCATACAATATAAATGCTGTCCTTCAATTATTTCTCATGGTTATTTGCCTTAGCTGGCTAAACCTCTTAGAACATATTTCTATTTCTTTCATTGGAAGTCATTTTTTGATAGTTGGATATTATTTGGGACATCTGAACCAAACATTAGCTCAGCAGGTTAAAATAGGATATATTTTATGCCTAGGATATTGCTCTTTAGATGTAAAGCTTTGTTTTTAGTCCGAATTCTAGTTTAGTTTTCCAGATTTGCATGCCTCTCCTGGAATGCAGATGTGTAACTTGGTACCCATAGTATTTCCCCTGGTATTGAAGTCCCATTTTCTCTATATAGTGCAATTCATAGTAATGTTTGTTAAATAAAATTTTCTTCCCAGGTAAATGCAGATAGGATTGTGGTCTTAATCTGCTCTTTTGTGGAACTGAAAGTAGATTGCAGGTTTTTTCTCCTCAAGTCAGGCTTGCATACAGTAGATCCTATTCTGACATGATAAAAATAGTCACTTTGTCCCTTTTTATGGATATATTCACATGCTGGACCTCACCATCAGAAAACCTACTAATCACACCTGAAGCTCTTATAAACAGAAGAACACTAACATTGACATCCCCTAAACTGTGCTGAAGATGTTACCTAGCCTGCTAATGAAACATTTGGAAATCAGCCCACAAGCTCGGAGAATGAACCTTCACCCTCATCCTATACCCGAGCTATACCCGACCTAGATATTTGCCATTATTGCATGCTTTTTTTTAATAGAAGAGAGAGGAAATGGCTCTAAAGCTTTGATAAGTCATACAATTGTTAATCTACCCTTTTCCTAAACATTTTTTTTTTTTTAGCAGACTGACTGTTTTTGGATAATATTATTGGAATCTGCCTTTATTTTTGTTCTGCTCTCATCCTAATCCAGCTGTGATCAAAGTTCATGTGTCATCCTACTTTAAAGCCCTGCTGTGCCCCTAGTCATAACACTGCTGCGAGGATCAATGCATAAGCAAACTGTACTTGGTGGAGGACCAGGGTTTTGATTGATACATTCAGCATTTTATTATTTACACTCTTCTTTTGACTTAGTCTTCACTTTGCAAATAACTGCTGTGAAAATCACTGCCTATGAATTAGCAGCATATGGACATTGTTTTGCAAATGAATGGATCCTAAGCTGCTGTGCTATATAGCATTATCTATCCAAATTGTCTGGTTTTTGGAAAGTCCTGAAAATAGAGTTGGAGCAAGAAACACTGAATGAAGAAGCCATGCTGGATTTACTCCTACATTGCTTGTAGGCATGATGACAAATCGTTATCCTTATGATTGATAGAAGCAACTGTACCTTTCTTCGATTCATCACACTTTATCCCAAGATGAGTTTGAGGCAATATTGTTATGGTGATGTATTGAGTTCCTCTATGGTAGATACCAACATTCTCGTCAGTTCAAGAGCTGGAAATTGAGCTGCTAGTTTGCTGAAGTTTGCTATCTTATGGTTAGAATTACACCATTAGGAAGAACTAATGCAAGAGTTGCTCAGAAATTCTGCAAAGGAGAAGAGCACGTCATCCTTTTGCTGCTTCTGTCAGTCTTTCCTGTGAGCATGACATTAGGAAAAACACCATGTTTAAAGTGCTTTTCTGCATTTTCACTTTCATCGTTTCTTCTTCTTCTTCTTCTTCTTCTTCTTCTTCTTCTTCTTCTTCTTCTTCTTCTTCTTCATATTATTATTGTTGTTGTTGTTGTTGTAGTAGTTGTTGTACTAATAGTCTTGTAAGCAGTTGGGCGGAAAAGAAGGTGATCAGGACGCTAAATTATCTAAAGATATTTATACAATAGGGAAGAAAGGTTTGCATCAGGAAGTTGAACACATGAAATGGCAAGAGTTGTTCCTTCTAATGAAATCTTTCTCAATCTAATCCAGTAAAACAGACTGTATTTCCAATTTACCTATTTCAAATCAAGACAAGTACTTCACTAGCAGCATTCCTGATCATGGTGAAGAAAATTAGGAAAATGTATCATTTCCTTTCTGCCTCCGATCCCACTGTGCAGTTTCATCAGTTACTTTAGAATGAACAGAGGGCATTTGGTGAAGAGTTTGTCAAAAGTAACAACTGTGCATGAACACACGTGCACACACACACACACACACACACACACACACACACACACACACACACTAAGAGTGTTTTGCCTGAGTTTGTTTTTTAATGAAA